TTGTGTGTGTGTATGTGTATGTGTGTGTGTCTGTATGTGTGTGTATATATGTGTGTGTATGGGGGGTTGTGGGTGTTTCTTGTGGGACAGCGACCGAGAAAAGAACACTTTGCAACGCAACTACTGTAATGTAACGTAGTACTGTACTGTACTGTACTGTACTGTACTGTAACTCAGCCAACAAAGTAACTTACACCGAGTTACTTGGTGTTACTTTAGTGTACACTACAGAGTACAGTAAGTTACAGTAGTAAGTACTGTATGGAAGACGCGTCGCTTACAGTACGTAGTAAGTACAGTACTGTAGCGCGTCAGCCAAATGACAAAGACAACAGCCAAGTTATATTGTCTGTCTATATAACTACATACCGCATACCGTACTGTATATGCACCACCTACTGTACCTCTTTTGGCATGCCTCACTCAGCATCGTCCACATCGCTCGCTGCAAGTCTCACTGCTTTCAACAGCACGCATCCACCTCGCCTGCATCCATCCATCCAACTCTCCTCTTTCCTCTACATCTTTGTTGGCGCTCGCTCTCGCTCTTGCCATTGTCAATGCAATCGTTGCGTCTCTAGGACTTTGTAGTAAAGTCGACTCGTTGCCCATCAACGATGCCCGAACCAACGATACAGAGAAGTTCACCGCACGCATCGGCACAAGGCCTGGACCAGCTCCAAAACTCCTTTCTCGTGCCCCTGGGATCTCGTTCCTACAGCAAGCAGTATGCACAGCTATACGACTATCGCCTCGCCTATCTCAAGAAGCGCGTCCTGGCAAGAGCAGACGATCGATGGATTCAAAACTTTGACTCCTTCTCACAGAGCCAGTCCCAATCCCAGTCCCAGTCCCAGCTCGACGATGACGCCATGCTCTTGTCATCCAACAAATCCGAGCCCAATGCAGACGACGACGATCCACGTGCCGGCCGCGCAGGGCCCTCTAGCAACAAGCGACCCCGCCTCTCTCGCTCCCGTTTGATGGACCCGCCCAAGCATGTCGATCGTATCCTCGATGTGCGCCAAGGCGAGGTCTGCTTCATCATCGGCAACATCTATTGCTCCATGCCCCTCAAGCCCGACGTACTCGAGGATCTCACAAGAGAGGTGAGTTGGCCAACTCTCTTCCATGACCATCGCACCCTACACTCACTCATTCATACTGACAGCTGACGCCGACTTCTTTTTCTTTTTCTTTTTCTTTTTCTTTTTTTTTTTTTGCGATGGGTCTGCTACGTTGATCCTCTTTTCGTCATCACAGCAATGGCTCGCTCCTCAGCCCGTGCGCACCAAGTATGTCGACAGCGAACGTGACGAGCTATTTATCGAGGACCAGAGTGGACGTGTGAAGCTGGTCGGCGACGCCATCAAGCCCGGCTCCTCGCTACGAGCCATGCTGATTACCGGTGTCGTGGCCGCAGTGCTGGGAACCGAGACCCGTGCGGGCGATTTTGACGTAGTCGATGCCATCTTTGCAGGGCTTCCCTCTGCATCCTCCACCCACCCAAGTGGCACTTCGGCCAGCTCCAAATCGCGCGTAAAGAAGGAGACAAAGATGGACGACCAAGACGATGGCATTGCGAGTAGTAGTAGTAGCAGCAGCAGCAGCAGCAGCAGCAGCAGCAAGGACCCGTGGGTCGTGCTAATGAGTGGAATGGCAATTGGTGGCCAAGATGCGCTTCAGGCCGAGCTCAGCATGCAGTTCCTCACCGAATGGCTCACCGGCGAGTTGGGCGAGCAATCGGATCGCATCTCGAGCTCCAGCATCGTTGCTGCCATCATCGCCGGCAACTCCCTTGCTCCGCCAGTGCGCGCCGAAGAGGAATCTAGACCGAAGCGCTTCGGACAGGACGTGCCCACTTACTCGCCCGCGCCAACGCTCGCCCTCGACCAGCTCCTCACCGATCTCTGCTCTTCCATGCCGGTCCACATCATGCCCGGTGAGCGCGACCCGGCCAGCGTAGCTCTGCCACAGCAGCCCATCCACTTTGCTCTTCTTCCGCGCGCCGGTCGGTTTGACTCGCTCCATCGCAGTACCAATCCCGCCTGGATCGGCATTGCAGATCGCAACATCCTCGGTACCTCGGGCCAGAACATTGACGATATCTTCAAGTATGTCGACGAGTCCGACGACAGCAGGATCGACATGGCCCTCCGCACGCTCGAGTGGGCTCATCTCGCCCCCACTGCCCCCGACACACTGTGGTGCTACCCATTCAAAGTCAATGATCCGTTCGTGATAAAGCATCGCCCCGATGTCCTGTTCGTTGGCAATCAACCCCGCTTTGCATCCGCTCTCTATCGCTACCACACCGAAGACGATCTGGAGGGCTCAGCGGATCAAAAGGCAGCAGACGACGTCGACGACTCGCAGTCGCAGTCGCAGTCGCAGTCGCAGTCGCAGTCGCAGTCGTTGTCTGGATCCAGATTGACACACGGCTGCCGTGTGATTCTGGTGCCAGAGTTTGCCAAAACTCGTCAAGTGGTTTTGCTCAACCTTGTCACCCTCGATACGCGCCTTGTTCAGGTCGACGCCGACTTTTGATGCTCGGCGGTCCGTCGAGGTAGCATTTCCAACACGCCAAGCAGCCCTGATCTACGCCGAGAAGCCTGCTTGCAGACCTTGAACCTGACTGCTCAGTGCAGAGCGCACTTTCTCAACCCGTTGCATTCCAACACGGCATCTCACTCGTCACTGTAGTATGTTGGGACAGTGACAGCATGGCATTGCACCCTGTATAATTATCCTTCTTGGCAAAGCACTTTGGCCAATCTGTGCGCAAACTTGGATCAACCTGGCAGACCAACGTCGCTGATTTGTTCCCAAAGCTTACGCTGGCGTCGCAAAGCATTGCCCGCATCGACAATGGCGCTCTGCTCGCCCTCGTCAAACATGGACAGATTCGTGTACTGTCCGCCCGCATTGTTGATGAGATCTCGCAACGCGTCCCACTCATCCAGCACCACACCCGCTAGCGGCGTAGGATGAATGGTGGGAATGTTGAGAACTGGGTCCCACTCGCCACCGAGATCGGCAAAGCTGGCGTCGAGACCCGCGGTGAGGCCATCCGAGCCAGGATGTCCGCTTGTGCCGTGCACCTCGGCCGCGGCCGTGCTGGGCGGATCAACAAAGAGCGGATATGAGTCGGCAAGCAATCGTCGGAACTCGAGACAACGATTGTGGGCTGTCTGTATCGTGAGTCGGTGAAATTTGTCGTTTCTGGAAGGGCGGGCGGGGGCCAGCCCTTCGCTCAGCTCGAGGGACGACAGGTCAGTCCACAAAGCATCGATCACGTTTGGCTGCTGATCGGGTGGCACTTGCTGCGTATGGGCTACAGAGGCGCGATTGATGAGGGCTTCATTCGCCTGTGGCATCGTCGTCGCAGCGCCATCTATGATGACAGTATCGGTGCGCAACGGGTCCTCTGCGCCGCCCGGCGTGTCGTGTCCGACCTCGTCTACATCGCTACCCGGCAGTACATAGTGTCGACGCGGACGCTGCAAGAGTCGTCGCAGCACGTTTGTGTCGCGCGTAATGTCACCGTAGTCCTTGGGAGCCGACCAGATGAGCCATTCGAGCTCGGACAATGTGCGTATCTCGTCGGCCTCTTCAAAGGCCAGATTTGTGTCGACGATGCGGAGAATCTTGACTTTGCGGAAGATGGGTGCGCTAAAGCCGCCAACAAAGCTGTGCGGATTGATGCTGGTCAGCTGCATCGGCTGACATGCCGATCCGTAGGTAAAGGCCGCGTGGAGACTCAGCAGCTCTCCGGCCAGTGCAACGTCCTGCAGCTTCCGGCACGAGCGCAGGATGATGCGAGTGGAGAAGTGGATCTGTTCGCGCATCTCGGTGATGTAGGCGGCCTCGTTGTAAGCTGGTGGCGAGAGAGCCGTGATCAGATCGGATTGCGAGTCGTCGGGTCCGATCCAGACGCGGCGAACGAACCTCGCGACCTTGGGGTTGGATCGCACCAGGCCCGCAAAGGCATGAATGGTGGACGAAGAGCAGAGAACGACGGTGCTGTAGACGAGTGGTGCCAGTCGATCGCGATAGTGCTTGGACAAGCAAAGGAGATGCAACTTGGTGCGCGAATTGCCGCCGCTCGTCTCGGCTGCAAATTGCAGGATCTCGCCGATCAGTTCGCGCGGCAATGAGGACGCCAGACTTTCAAGCTTTGACACGGTGGATGCAGACGATACCGTGGACGGCCCATTTGAAGAAATCCGAGCCGAGTTCCGACTTGAACCCGTGACGCTTCGGCCTGCAGACTTGTGAGCATTGCGCCTGTCTGCACTACCGCTGGGATGAGATGTGTGCTGACGAGAGGTCGTGGACGTGCCGATGAGCCTCGTCGGCGAGGTGGTAGACCCAGCCGGTGTCGAGACTGGCGCCATCATGAGTGAGCAGCAGCCTCGCTCGCAAAAGCCAGCACAGAGTCTGCCCGGCTCGCCGACTGAAAGAGCTGTGTAGGTGATCCAGAAGCAGGATCGGGTGAGGACTTCAGCGAGAGAGGACAATCCGACAGCCGGCCAAGGTGCGTCCAGCTAACGCATGCCGTGGAGACACGCCTCGAGTTTGCGGGTGTAGCAGATCCCAAAAAGATGTGTCTTTGGGCTGTTCACCCCTTACAGCCGTAGCCCCTTGTACAGCAGCGTCGCGATAGCTGCAAGCATGGAGTGCCCGGTTGTTTCTGCAACTGCGTCTGAGAATGTAGGGATTGATTGTGTGGTCGTCGAGACCTAGGTTGTTTCGGTAGCTGTATCAATGAGCCGCCTGGTCAATTGCAGCTCTAAAAGTGGAGTTGAGCAAGCAGCTGCAGCTCGTCTATTACTGTACTGTACTGTATGTACGTCAGCCACGGTGGCTTGGCCCAAAGCCTGAACTCGTTGGAGCGGTTATGCACAGCTCGAAACTCTTGAATCGCAAACGCATCATGTGTGTTCCCAAAAACAAGCTAATATATTATTAACCTAGGATGCGGCTGGCATCAAATCAATGTCTTCGTGGCCTAGTTGGTTAGGGCGTAGGTCTCATACGAGAACCACCGCACCGGTGCATCAACGATCCTGCTCACGCAGGAACAAACCTACGAACTGCTAAAAGTTCATGACATCCTAAGATCGCGAGTTCGACTCTCGCCGAGGACAACTTTTTTTCCCACCTTTTCTAACCTAGCACACCCATAATCTTTCACCACACCACATAACCACGTTGGATACAGTACAATCGTATCACCAAAAGGACCTTCATGAAGACACTCTGCACCCCCTCAGCGTCGGGCCCGTGCTACTCTTGCTATCGCATATACGCACGCAGGCAGAAAAAAAAGTGAGCAATTTTAAAAGCTGACTAGCATGCGTGTGCAATCTGGATGGTGCGATTGAGAAGGATGCTGCACAACTAAATAACAAGAGACCTGACTAGATTGATTGAATTTTAGGCCTTGACACGGCCGATGACAGTGTCGGCGGCGTACTTCTGAATGACCTTTCGGTCGTGGAGCATGAGGAACTCCTCGGTGGCGTCACGGCCAGCGTAGAGCATCAGAGCCTTCTTTCCACCGGGGTGGTCGTCGAGGAAGCCCGAAACGTTCAGCACCTGGCCCTCAACCACTACCCAGACGTCGTCCTCGGTGGTGTGCTTGGCAACCTCCTCCATGGTGTACTCCTTCTCCTCGATAGCCTGCTGCGCGGCGGCGGCGCTACCGCTCTGCTGCGCCGCGCTGCTGGTCTGGGCCTGCTGACCCTGGGCCACGGGCGATGGAATTGCCGAGCTGGCCTGCTGTGCGGCCGCAGAGGCCGAGCTGCTGGCGCTGTCGTTGAAACCAAACTCGAGCGTGATGGTCTTGCTAATGGGGTCGGCACGCACACGGGTCTCGAGGTGGTTGGAGATCTGTCCAAGACGGGCGGTGGCCTTGCCGGTGGCGAGGTTGCGCAGGAGGAAGCTGGCAGCCGAGTCACCCGCCACACGGCCAAAGACGACACATCCGAGCAGCGACGAGCCACCAAGACGGTTGGCACCATGGACACCGCCCGCAATCTCACCACAGGCAAAGAGACCTGGAATGGGCTTGCCCTGGTTGTCAATCACCTTGGACTCGGGGCTGATCTCGAGACCGCCCATGGTGTAGTGGAGCACTGGGGTCATGAGAGCAACGTAAAAGGCCTGGTCCATGCGGAGGTCGCTGTTGGAGAAGAACTTCTTGCCCCACGGGCACTTCTTCTCGCCCTTGGCGATGGCCTCGTAGTCCTGGAAGGTGGACTGGAGCTTGTCGGAGGGGATACCCATCTCCTTGGCGAGATCGTGAGCGCTGTCGAATCGCTTCATGAGGCCACGACCGGCGTAGTGCTTGCAGTGCCACTCGATCTCCTTGGAGGCCTGCTCGTTGAGAATGAGGCGGACGGGGAACTTGTTGTTGTCCCACATGCGGCCGGTGACGTAGTCACGGTGGCCGAGCTCGTCGGCAAAGCGGTTGCCTTCGTTGTCGAGCAGCAGACCACCGCACCCTCGGAGAGCCTCGGCGGCCAGGAACTTGACCTTGGCGTCCGGGTCCTTGGGGTCGACGAGACCGGTTGGGTGGACCTGGACCTTTTCGAGGTCGATCAGGCGACCGCCGATCGAGGCGACCATCTTCTGACCATCGCCAGTGCAGTGGTCGCCGTTGGTGGTGGGAAGGTGGACAAGGTCAGGACGGTACTTCTTGAGGAGCGAGTTGACATCGTCAAAGTCGGCGGCGTAGCCACCGGTAGCGAGGACGACGGGGCCGTCCTCCTTGTGGGTCTGGCCCTGGTATTCGTACTCGACGCCGGTGACCTCGCCGTTGCTGTGGATGAGCTTGGTGACGCGAGCCTTGCGGAGAATCTGGACACGGTCGGGTTCGGCCTCGGCGAGGTCCTCGAGCTTCTCCATTTGCGCATAGGTGATGGTCATGCCGGGGAACTGTGCGCCACCACGGTGAGTTCGAGGCTGCGAGTGACCGCCAAGACGCGAGACTTTGCTGAGGTCGAGAGCAAAGCGGTCCATGAGCCAGTTGACAGCCTCGCCGGACTTGCCGGTGAGGACCTGGATCAGGTCATCACGGGCCAGATCACGAGCAGACTTCTTGGTGTCGTCAAAGAAGGTCTTGGCGCTGTCAGGGATGCCCTGTTCTGCCTGGGTAGCGGTGCCGGCACCGTTGATACCCGAAGTGGCCTTCGTCGAGTTACCGCCGAAGAAGGGCTGTCAGCATGGCGAGAGAAGGCGCCAGTACGGACGAATGATGTCGGCACGAAATCAATGGGCATTGTCAGTGAATCTGAACATGTGTGTACCAGCAGAGATTCCAGTATCGGACGCGAGAGAAAAGCAGAATCACAAGCATGAAGTCTGGACGCTGTGGAGGAAAAAGGCACTTACGTTCTTGTCAAGAACGAGGACGTTCGCGCCTCGCTCGTAGAGGGTGTGTGCGGCACTGAGACCGGAGAGACCACCGCCGACGACAATGACACGAGACATGGTGGATATGTATATGTGAAACTGAGCTTGTGACGTTAAAAGGAGGGGTGGTGATGTTCAAATGCGAAGGAACTTGGAGCTGAAAAGTGTCGAGGGATATAGAGAAGCTCCGGACGGTGACGAGGGCGGAGACAGAGGCTGTGATGGGGACGGACAAGGAATCAGTGTAGACAGCCAGAAGGGAGGGCGCATTGAGTATGTGCCACAGAGGAGTGGCTGCTATATATTGGGCGCTGCAGCCAGACGGCCATCCGGTAAGTTCTGAGGGACGTGATCCGGGGCCGAACAGCTGTACTGTATTAGCATGAGTGGCTTCAGTGCAAGGCAGGAATACGCAGGCAGGCAAGAAGGCGGGGATGCCATAGGGAAACCGCTTCGATGCGCAGTACAGGAAGGATGCGCACCAGCGGTGGCGGCGGAGTCGGAGCTACAGTACTGCAGAGGAACAACAACATGTCTCGTCTGCTGCACCTCTCCTTTTTGCGGGGGAAAGGGCAGCGCACGGCAGGATACAGCGCTGAGACGGTGCGCATCTGCAGAGGAAACAGGCTTGCTGTGATTGCCCGGACCACTGAGGAGTTGGCTTTTGACAAGCAACAATTAAACCTGGTGCTGCACGGATGCTCAGCGCGAACAAGGGCAACTTGTTCGCACTCCTTCTTGGAACGGTGAGCAGCCGAACCATCACCGTAGCAGGTCGCTTGGATCACACGGCTCGCCAGCTGCTGACAGTGCCGTACAGCCCAGCACATGCAGCAAGATGAAGTGTCTTGCCGAACATCGACGGGCGCCGCAAGACTACTGTATACAGTACTGAACCTATCACGCCGCTTTGGCTAACAACGAGAGCGCGCGCACTGGGACGTTGCTGCGCCTGGGCCATGTCGAGAATCACACGTCTGGCACAGTAGCACGTAGCACAGTAGCACGTAGCACAGTAGCACACTTGCAGAGCATCGGAAAATGAACATCTGCACCAAGACCCTTTTCGAGAGTTGCAGTACAATAATCCTAGCCTGGCGCTGGACTTGCTCTCGGTTCGAGTACGTGGCGACAGGCGGGAGGGGAGGTTTCGGGGGTTTGTTTCCGCTTCCTGTGCCGACGAGGAGTTTGGCGCGCGCAAGCCAAGTACCGCACAGCACAGGACAGTTGGGTGAAGGGTCAGAGACACATATACACCAAGCAGGGGCAGCCATGTCGGAACCTTGCAGTGGGGCGCGCACTCAGTCTCAGCTCGCTCTCATTCACGCCCTGCCCCAGGTTTCCCCACACATGCACGTCGTTCTCGCTTCGCAGATTCTGTCCAAGTGCCCAAAAGGTCCTCCCGGCTATCCAACCCTATTTCTCTGTGTTCTTGTGGCGGCCACACAAGCGCGTGCTGTACTGTAAGTGGCCAGTGCTGCTTTGGAAAACTGAGCCTCAGGCAGGGTTCACGTCGCTGTCATTGAACACAACTGCACAGACAAGGGTTTCGGCGCAATGCGTCCAACTTGCAAAGACCAACCAACCACACGCTGTCCATTTCACCATCCTACAAGACACACTTCCCCCTAGACCTCCCCTGCCCTGGCTGCGCCACTGCGTCCATGTTTCCATCACATCACGCACTCACGCACGTACTATGATCTTAATTACTGCTGCTTTCCGTGCCGTTGAGGATGCTGATGGCCTCAATGGGGCGCATCCGAAAGGTGCGGGGTCGACCCGACCCTTGAGACTCCAGACCTTGTGCCCTCAAGTGCAGCATCTGTATTGAGCGTCCGCATGGAAGTTCAGTACACTACCTCGACCGTGGCCTACAGCTCTGGCGTATTGTGGCAACATCTCCTTAAAGTACAGTTCCTCGGCCAAGTCTCTCGCACCTCGGCAAGCCGCCTCAAATCTCGTGCTTGCGCCATGCCTCTTTCGTGCCTGTACGGTATCCCCTGCCACGCTGGAAGACCGGGGTCGTGGGACCTGTCGCACAGGCGCCTCGCGCCTCTCCCTCTCCCTTTCCCATTCTAATTTCTCTGGGGGTGTACAGTACATAGCTAGTAGTATGTGCGTTTTTTTTCTCTCCGCACGTCCCGCCTGCAGACACCTCACCCGCATCTAAGTAGACGACAACGTGAGAGCTCACCTACCTACTAGCTGCATCCAGCTTGTCGGACTCTGATTATGTTCCATCTCTTTGCTGCAGGCTGCCTTTCACAAGCCAACGACGTGCATGCAAGTGCAGTGCTGTATATACATGCTGTGGCTTACTTGGCTCTGCATGGAGTCCATTGCATTGAAGTGGCCTGCTTCCTTCCTGAGATGACCGTCACTGCTGTGAACTATACGAATCGCCGAAAGGTCTGTGCCCAAGCTGGCCTTGCAGCGATGCCAGCCGACCCTTTACCATATACTATGTGAGTCTTGACTAGTTCGTCAATTCTGGTACAGTCTCGAGTTTGGGCTGCCTGACAGTTTGCCTGTTGTGTACATGGGACCAGGCTCAGGAACATGGCAGCTCCTGTCGTGTCTACGCTTGCTTTGTAAGCAACAGGCGCCGAATGGCCGGGGTAATGAATGGAAACGGAACATGGTGCCACTGCATAGGCAGGCTACGAGCACGCCTTGCGAGTGCAGAGGCACAAGGCTGGCCTGGGTCTACGGTCGTGGCGGATTTTGG